CTCTGCCTCTTGGGTTCAGGCAATTCTCCTGCCTCAGCCTCCTGAGTAGCTGGGATTACAGGCACACGCCACCATGCCCAGCTAATTTTTTGTATTTTTAGTAGAGACGGGGTTTCACCCTGTAGACCAGGATGGTCTCAATCTCTTGACCTTGTGATCCACCTGCCTCGGCCTCCCAAAGTGCTGGGTTTATAGGCGTGAGCCACTGTGCCTGGCCACATGAGTAAGTTCTTTAGCGGAGATTTGTGAGATTTTGGTGCACCCATCACCTGACCATGTACACTGTACCATATTTGTTGTCTTTTATCCCTCACTCCCCTCTCACTCCTTCCTACAAGTCCCCAAAATCCATTGTATCATTCTTATAAGCCTTTGCATCCTCATAGCTTAGCTCCCACATATCAGTGAGAACATACAATGGTTGGTTTTCATTCCTGAGTTACTTCACTTAGAATAATAGTCTCCAGTCTCATCCAGGTCATTGCAAATGCTGTTAACTCATTCCTTTTTATGGCTGAGTAGTGTTCCACTATATATATATATACACACACACACATACATATATATAATAGTTTCTTTATATATATACATATATGTATATATATAATATATATTATAATATATATACACACTATATATATATATATCATAGTTTTTATATATATCATAGTTTCTTTATTCACATGTTGATCAATGAGCATTTGGGTTGGTTCCTTCAGCACCAATTTTATGAAGGATAAACTTGCAGCCCAGAGAGGTAAAGTAAGTTTCCGGGGCCACGCTGCAGCCAATCAGGAAAGGGGCTGCAAAGAAAGGGCTCTTGACCCTTTTGCTGGTTCCACTGCCTGTTGGAAGCCAGAGACCTAGGTTCCTATTGCTATTGTGCCAGTGATTTACCATGTGGCTTTGGGCAAAGGACCTTTCCCCTTCTGTTTATTGGAGTTTCTCCCTCTGCTTGGGGGAGTGGCCAGTGGTTGGATTTCTTTTGTGGTTTAAGGCACTGAACATACAATAGAAAATGCAAACTGTATGTATAATTTAACATTTTCTCCTAGAGAAGGGACACAAGTGACATTTTAATAAATGTATTTGACCCACTTATACAAAATATTAGCATTTTAATATGTAAACTTAAGCCAGATATTTTGTACATGTTATGTTTTTTTTTTCATATAAAGTTTTCAAATTTCAATGTGTGTGTTATACTTCCAGCCCATCTCAATCCAGGCTCCCCACACTTCAGCTGCCCCTTGGGACCCGCAGGCACTAGACTGGACCGTGCAGATTTGCAGTTGTGCTTCCTAGACCCAGACTGCCCGAGGGTTGGAACCAAGCTGTGTGATCTTGAGCAGGCTCCTCGGCTGTACAGTGTGGGGAGGAATGGGACTTCCACCCGGTGATTATTGTTAATAAATATGTATCAGTGCCTAGAAGAGCGCCAGGCATTGAGTGAGTGCTTGCCATTCCTCTTAGCCTGGGCTTGCAGCCTTCCTCATGGGGGCCTCTGAAGAGCTGGGGGTGCCAGGCGCAGTGGCTCACACCTGAAATCCCAGCACTTTGCGAGGCCAAGGCAGGCAGATCACTTGAGGTCAGGAGTTTGAGACAGAACCCCATCTCTACTAAAAATACAAAAATTAGTCAAGTAGGGTGGCAGGTGCCTGTAATCCCAGCTACCCAGGAGGCTGAGGCTTGAACCTGGGAAGCGGAGGTTGCAGTGAGCCGAGATCTCAAGATCTGGCCACTGCACTCCAGCCTGGGCGACAGAGCCAGGCTCCATCTCAACAAAACAAAACAAGAACCCTGGGGGAAGGTGCTCTTTTCAGCTCTGGACACAAGTGGTCGCTGTGAGCTCACCTGTGCATCAGGTTGTCATTGACAGCAAAACCAGGTCTCCCCTTCCCAGGCCCGGACCGGGAGCTCAGCTCTCTCCGCCCACCTACCCGCTGGTCTCTGAGCCATTCCTCAAGGGTGAGAGACACAGGTCGGCAGAGATCTTAAGGCCCTGTATACACACTGGACACTCCTTGACCTCGATGCCCTTGTGTTCATTCAGCCACTCAACAAATACTTTTTGAGCACATGATGGGTGACAGCGGTGGACGGAACAAAACCTCGCCCTCGAGAGAGACAACAAACAAAACAAAAAACAGGAAAAATAAGTCAATTGTATAGTATGTCAGATGGTGCTAATGGCATATANTTTTTTTAATGTGCAAAACTGTGTTTTAAATTTTAAAACTATTTTTAAAAAATGATTTATGGGCTGGGTGTGGTGGCTCACGCCTGCAATCCCAGCACTTTGGGAGGCCGAGACAGGTGGATCACTTGAGATCAGGAGTTTGAGACCTAGCCTGGCCTACATGATGAAACCCCCGTCTCTACTAAAAATAAAAATAAAAGCTTAGCCAGGCATGGTGGTGCATGCCTGTAATCCCAGCTACTTGGGAGGCTGAGGCACTAGAATCTCTTGAACCTGGGAGGCGGAGGTTGCAGTGAGCCAAGATCGTGCCACTGCACTCCATCCAGGGCCATAGAGTGAGAGTCTCAAAAAAAAAAAAGCAACAAAACAAAAAACAAATTTACGAATGCCTTGCTTCTCTGTAAGTTGAATTTGAGGTGGCTTACCATAATTCATATCATATAGAAAAATACAGCTGAGCTAATAAAATCAGTACCAAGAAAAGGAAAAGTCAGGCCCAAGATCGGTGGCTCATGCCTGTAATCCCAGCACTTTGGGAGGCAGAGGCAGGCGGATCACCTGAGGTCGGGAGTTCAAGACCAGTCTCACCAACATGAAGAAACCCTGACTCTACTAAAAATACAAAGTTAGTCAGGTG